CCCCCCCCCCCCCCCCGCCAGTGCACAAATTTTTGTGCACTGGGCCTCTAGTCTATAATAATAAAAACGTAATATGCTAATTGGATCAGACAGCTGGACAGCCTTCCGGACAACCTTCCGGACAAAGGCTGGGCTGCAAGGGCCGAGCCCCTTGCACAAATTTCATGCATTGGTCCTCTAGTGATAATAATCAGACAAATAAATAAGCAAAATGCATGGCGCATCCTTGTTTGGGCAAGTCTGTCAGAGGATGTGAGCCTCAAGGTTCTGCTGAAGAAAAGCCCTTCATCACAGCACACCCAATGCAGAGCGGGGAGAATGAGAACTAGCAACAGCAGCAAGGCCTTCACCAACACCCCAGGATTCAAGTCCCAGTCCTGCCTAGGATTCCTCTTTTCTGTGAAATAAAGAGCACCAGGACCTACTTAGAGGGTGGACAGGAGGCTCCAACTAGTAGAGGATGTAAAGTGCCCACAAACAAAGGGTTGGCTCGCGGGGGCAGGGATAGGGTGGGGGGGCTTGGTTCAGGGAAGTCGCTGCCTCCCTGCCCCCACTCGGGGGAGTGTTTGTGTCCACTGTGAATGCAGAGCTGCAGGGCTGCGGCTCAGAGGGACAGATGGCCCGGGTCTGAGAGGCTCATCTCTCAGTAAAGCTCCCTTTAATCGGATTCTCCCCACAAGGTGAGCCCCACAGACATGTCAGCCTGCCAGACCACCAGGTGCAGGGCTGATGGGAAGAGGTGCTCTGCACAGCCTCGGGGACATGGTCCCAGGGCAGCCAGCAGTCCTTGCCTTGCTTTCCAAGCTTCACTAACAGACGCACGCCTCACGCACTCACTCTCACCCCTCCCGGTCAGCACTGGTCAGACTGGGAGGCTCTGTGGCTGGGGTGCACCACGAGGCTGAGGGCTGAGGAGCCATCACAGTTCCACAGAATTGGGAGCACCATGGGGCGGGGCCGGCGTGGGAGGTTGGGGAAAGGAGGAGCTGGTGCCTGAGCTGAGTTCTGGAGAAGCTCTAGCTGGGAGAGAAGGTGTCTATCTGTCTGTCTGTCTGTTTGAGGTGAAGTAGGGGTGCAGCAAAGGCCAGGCAGGAAAACTTGAGTATTTGAGGAAAATTCAGCAACTGGACAGCAACACCAAGGGACAAAGAGAAAGGGGGGATTCACTCTGGGGCCCTATGAGCCCCTAGATATGTAGAGTTTATTCTGAGATGAGAAGAGCCAGAGACACTGTGAGCAGAGGAGAATGCAGGCAGGGAGAGGGGCCTGCTGGGATGAAGGCAGGACAGTGGGCCAGGCAGACGGGAGGGGAGACATGGCAGCTTGTGGGCTGTGTGGGCAGGGACCATTCCTGGGTGTGCAGGGCTCCCACTGAGAGCTTCCTCAGCAAGGGGACCCTCACCTTCCAGCAATGCCGAGATCCGGCCCTGCTCCCTCTATTCCCACTCCTCACACCCTCCAAAACAGGAAAAGAAAAAAATCTCACACAAAATTAAACACCTGTACTCAAGACTCAACCAGGAGGAACAATTCAAAGGCCACGTGCCCGACCACTGAGCCAAGTCCTTCTTTACTCTCAGAAAGCCCTGGGCCTGAGGCCAGCCCTCCGAGGGCGCTGGGAAGGGAAGGTCAGACATTAAATGCACAAATAAAAGTGTATCCGGACAACCAAGCGTCCGCTGCCTGTCACTGCTTGAGCCAATTCAGCAGAGACCGGGTTGAATCATATGAGCGTTTAGTCCAGTCCTGCTGGCAGCTGGGTGAGCAGCAGGTCATCCACGAAAATCTGCTCTGCCTGCTCTCCCCTCCCCCGCCGCCGCCACATAAGCCACTGCGTATAGAGGTAGAAGGACAAAGGAAAGTAGGCAAAGGGCAAATGGGCAGTTTACAGACACGCCAAGGGCTGGGTCCTCAAAGGGCTGAGTGATATGCAAGGGCTGGGGCTACCTGGGGAACAGCCAAAGGGAGTGCCGGCTCCCACGCAAACAAGTGCCTGCAGAGCTGCAGGAGCTGGAGCACCCCTCCCCTTCCTCGCCACATGGGTTTTAATTGGTGAGTCTGCGGGCAAACGTGTGCGTAGGGCTTTCAAGGCTCTCAGGGACCCTTTGAGATGACAAGGAAACCCCAAACGTCTGAAAGTGACTTTTAGTTAGAAAACTGGACTTCTCAGCACCCTGATTCCTTGAAGAACTCAGCCATGTTTGCAGTGGTGCCATTAGAGAAAGTGTGCCGTCTCCATAGCAACTGAAGGGGCCCACACTCCCTGACTGTGTGGGACCCTGTACTGCTGACAGCTTCAAGCTTCCCAGACAGAGTTGGGTTCAAATGATGGCTCGAGTCATGTGCCCACTGTGACGTCAGGGCGCCTCAGGTTCCCGTCTCTGCAATGAGACTGAGAGCCTCTCGCAGAGAGTAAATCAGATGAGAAATGCCTGGTTCTGCCATAGAAGCCGAATGGTCACAGATCTGCTTCCACCAAACAGGGTCCCCCGCTCCCCCCAGGACCAGGCTTCCTGGAGCAGTTCCATTCCCGCCGCTGCAGGGCCTCCTGTTGGCGCCGCACATGTTGCAGCCCCATGTGCCCACCCTCTGCTGACTTATCTCTGGGAAAACTGTTGAGGGTGCCCTTCCTGGGGCCAGAGAGGCCACGTCTGGTTTGGTCAGTGCTCCGAGGCCCTGCTGTGGCCCCGGGGACCCTGCAGCACTTCCCTGCC